CTCTCGTGAATGGTTGCGCTCACCTGCAATGGCAATCCTTGGCCGACAGTGCTGCGTTGATGAGAACAAACTATGAACCAGTTGAATAAAAAAACGAACCCTGGGTATGCCCCTGTGTGAGGGCTGAAGATTACCCAACAGGAAAAGTATGCCTAGGAGTACGAGTAAGTGCAACTACTCCTGCTGCGCCTGCTGTGCCGCGATAGTCAGCCGGCTAAGCTGTCGCGCGAAGCGGTCGATCCACTTGGGGAAACCTTCCGCCTGTCAACCCATGAAGCCAAATTGAGCACACAACTTCTCCTGTGTTTTGGCCCCTTCCACAACAATACATGCTATTCCAAGGGTCGACGCCCAGTTTTTCGGCGAACTGTTTCGCAAATGAGCAGCAGTTCCTCGAGAAAATATCCTCGGAATGGGGCTTCAGCTGGGTGGAGAAGGGTTTTTGTTCTGGTTTGGGAGTTCTGTGCAAGTTGGCTGCGAAGCCAAACTGTAGAACCCCCTAAGCCCTAAACCCTAAACGTGCCCGGCAGCGTAGTCACAGCCTTTCCAATCTGTCACGAGATACGTCATAAGATCGGCAACCTGTGTTTGAGAATCCAGCCAGAAGGGCTTGGAGCACAGGGAAAACCCAAGCCTCTAGCGCTGACAGTCCCGTAGGTCCGAGCGGAATGCCTAAGACAGAGAGAGAGAGAGAGAGAGAGAGAGAGAGAACAGCTTCTGGGTGGATAAAGGGCTTAGGGATTCGGATCGTGCTCTTGCCGTGAGCTAAACATGGGCATTTGGGCTATTAGGGCTATCAAATCGAGGTGCTGCATCGGTAGACGTGCTCGTTCACCGTTCGCGGGTTCATGCAACTCACTCCTTCAATGGTCTTGTAGTTGTAGTAGCAGCAGCAGCAGTAGTAGTAGTAGTAGTAGTAGTAGTAGTAGTAGTAGTAGTAGTAGTAGTAGTAGTAGTAGTAGTGGTAGTGGTGGTGGTTGTGGTGGTGGTGGTGGTGGTGGTGGTGGTGGTGGTGGTGGTGGTAGCGGTGGTGGTGGTGGTGGTGGTGGTAGGTGGAGAGTAGAGGGGTGGACGTGCAAGTGGATGAAACTGGAGATGGGACCGTGACCTTAAACGGATTTCCAGCTGATGCTGATGATGCTCGCCATGCGGTTCGCTGAATGGTTCTACGATTGTATGAAACTGGAGATGGGACCGTGACCTTAGACGGATCTCCAGCTGATGCTGATGATGCTCGCCCTGCGGTTCGCTGCATGGTTCTACGATTCTATGAAACTGGAGATGGGTCCGTGACCTTAATCGGATTTTCAGCTGATGCTGATGATGCTCGCCCTGCGGTTCGCTGAATGGTTCTACGATTGTATGAAACTGGAGATGGGACCGTGACCTTAAACGGATTTCCAGCTGATGCTGATGATGCTCGCCCTGCGGTTCGCTGAATGGTTTTACGATTCTATGAAACTGGAGATGGGACCGTGACCTTAATCGGATCTTCAGCTGATGCTGATGATGCTCGCCCTGCGGTTCGCTGAATGGTTCTACGATTGTATGAAACTGGAGATGGGACCGTGACCTTAAACAGATTTCCAGCTGACGCTGATGATGCTCGCCCTGCGGTTCGCTGAATGGTTCTGCAATTGTATGAAACTGGAGATGGGACCGTGACCTTAAACGGATTTCCAGCTGATGCTGATGATGCTCGCCCTGCGGTTCGCTGAATGGTTCTACGATTCTATGAAACTGGAGATGGGACCGCGACCTTAAACGGATTTCCAGCTGATGCTGATGATGCTCGCCATGCGGTTCGCTGAATGGTTCTACGATTCTATGAAACTGGAGATGGGACCGTGACCTTAAACGGATTTCCAGCTGATGCTGATGATGCTCGCCATGCGGTTCGCTGAATAGTTCTGCGATTGTATGAAACTGGAGATGGGACCGTGACCTTAAACGGATTTCCAGCTGATGCTGATGATGCTCGCCCTGCGGTTCGCTGAATGGTTCTACGATTGTATGAAACTGGAGATGGGACCGCGACCTTAAACGGATTTCCAGCTGACGCTGATGATGCTGGCCCTGCGGTTCGCTGAATGGTTCTGCAATTGTATGAAACTGGAGATGGGACCGTGACCTTAAACGGATTTCCAGCTGATGCTGATGATGCTCGCCCTGCGGTTCGCTGAATGGTTCTACGATTCTATGAAACTGGAGATGGGGCCGCGACCTTAAACGGATTTCCAGCTGATGCTGATGATGCTCGCCATGCGGTTCGCTGAATGGTTCTACGATTCTATGAAACTGGAGATGGGACCGTGACCTTAAACGGATTTCCAGCTGATGCTGATGATGCTCGCCCTGCGGTTCGCTGAATGGTTCTACGATTCTATGAAACTGGAGATGGGACAGCGACCTTAAACGGATTTCCAGCTGATGCTCGCCATGCGGTTCGCTGAATGGTTCTACGATTCTATGAAACTGGAGATGGGGCCGTGACCTTAAACGGATTTCCAGCTGATGCTGATGATGCTCGCCATGCGGTTCGCTGAATGGTTCTACGATTGTATGAAACTGGAGATGGGACCGTGACCTTAAACGGATTTCCAGCTGATGCTGATGATGCTCGCCATGCGGTTCGCTGAATGGTTCTACGATTGTATGAAACTGGAGATGGGACCGTGACCTTAAACGGATTTCCAGCTGACGCTGATGATGCTCGCCTTGCGGTTCGCTGAATGGTTTTACGATTCTATGAAACTGGAGATGGGGCCGTGGCCTTACACGGATTTCCAGCTGATGCTGATGATGCTCGCCCTGCGTTCGCTGAATGGTTCTACGATTCTATGAAACTGGAGATGGGACCGTGACCTTAAACGGATTTCCAGCTGATGCTGATGATGCTCGCCCTGCGGTTCGCTGAATGGTTCTACGATTCTATGAAACTGGAGATGGGACCGTGACCTTAAACGGATTTCCAGCTGATGCTGATGATGCTCGTACTGCGGTTCGCTGAATTCTTCGAGGGGTCGAACTGCTACTGCTATCCTGCTGTGTGTTCAATCGATGGGAGTGTGAATGTAAATGGATGTCCAGCGGACGCTGATGATGCTCGCCCTGGAGTTCGCTGAATTCGTCCAGCGACTGGGTCGCATGGCTACCCTGCTGTGTGTTCAATCGGTCGGAGATGGGAGCATGAGTTTAAAACGGATTTCCAGCTGATGCTCGTGATGCTCGCTGTGGGCTTCGTTGAATTCGTCCAACGACTGGGTCGAACTGCTACTAGTACCTGGCTGTGTGATGGGAGCGAGAGCTTAAACGGTTTCCTACTGATGCTGATGACATTTGCCTGCGGTTGGCTGAATCCCTCCAATGATTGGCTCGAATTTTTACCCGACTGTGCGTTCAAATGCCCGAGAATGGGACTTTGACATTAAGCGGGATTCCAGCTGATGCTGATGATGCTCGCCCTCTGGTTGGCTAAATCCGTCCAATGATTCGCTTGAACTGCTACCCGACTGTGCGTTGGACCATTCCTCATATGTTGATGTCGTAGCGGGTCTTCGCAGTACAGTACAGCTTCTCTTGGCAGCATGGCTTGAAGGAGCTTTTAGGTGAGGTGCACCGTCTTTTCCGCAGTATGCTTACAGGTCACAGCACTCGCATCGGCTTTCTTGTCCTGACAGGGGCTCAGGGTTCGAGGGGCAGGCAGAGCTGTTGTTCAAACGCCCGGAGATTGGAGCCTGAATTCAGACGGATGTGCACCTGATGCTGATGATGCTCGTTCTGCGCTTCGCCGAATCGGTCCAATGACTGATCGAACTGCTAACCTGCCGTGAATTCAATCGATGGGAGCCTGAGTTTAAACGCATGATGCTGCTCGCCCTGGAGTTCGCTGAATTCGTCCAGTGACTGGGTCGAATGGCTACCCTGCTGTGTGTTCAATCGGTCGGAGATGGGAGCGTGAGTTCAATCGGATTTCCGGCTGATGCTGATGATGCCTGCTCTTCGCTTCGATGAACTCGCCCAATGAGCCCAATGAGTGAGTTGAACTGCTACCTGCTACGTCTTCAAACGCTCGGCGATGGAACGTGAGTTTAAGCGGATTTCCAGCTGATGCTGATGATGCTCGCCCTGCGGTTCGCTGAATCGGTGCATTTACGTCAATGACTGGTCGAACTGCTACCCCAGCTTCTGTGTGTTCAAAACTCCTGTGGGTTGGAGCGTGAATTTAAATGGAGTTGCTGATGATGCTCGCCCGGCGATTCTCTGAATTGGTCCAACGACTGTGTCGAACTGTTACCCTGCTGTGTGTTCAAACACCCGGGGACGAGCTCCTGTGAATTTAGACGCATTTGCAGCTCATGCTGATGATGCTCGCTCTGCGGTTCGCTGAACTGTTCCGTGGTGGAACGGAAAAATTTCGGGCTTGAGTTGTAGCAATGGCACAGAGGTGGTGCCGTTGGCCACAGGCTGTGGCTCGCCTCGAGGTGGGAACGCTTCAGGAAAAACTTAATCGCTGCACCGTATTTGAAGGACTTTGAATATGGACTGGGTAAGCAGTGCGGTCTCTATTCGGGTGGCGGCGGTGCGAATGGTTCTGGAAGACTGCGAACATAAATCGCATGGGCTGACAAACGAATGTCGCTCCATCTCAGCACTTTGGTCGGCTAGATAGATATTCCACGTTGTTGTGTGTGGAACTCAAGGTCCTGTTTACGTCTGTTTGCATGTAAGGTGCCTTTTCCCACACCGGCCCTTCCGCACATTCCCTGGCATAGTCCCTGGCCCATACCCAAGCCCTGATCCCGGCATATCCCGGCAGTCGTACTACTAGTTATAGCCTGGGGGTCGGAGTAATTCCCAACAATGGCAATCTTTAATTTAAGGATACTTTCATGAACCACACACCCTATACCAAAGATTGAGGTCCCCATAGTAAGTAGTCGATGGTTCCGATTGTTACTGGTTGATATGGAATGTAAATGTGGAAAAGCCAATCCAAGGTTCACGCCCCATCAGTTGAGCCTCATCGCCCATGCCTTCACGGTGCATTTAGCTTCTGGGTCCGAATTTTCGAGCCGGAGGAAGCTCTTCTGGGTGGTTGTCAAAATTAGGCTCCCCTTTTGGGTACCCTAAATAATAGGTGCCGTATTATAATCGGGACCCATAAAGGGACCATAATTTTGACAACTACCAGCATGCATCGCTTGCTTGGGTTTGCCTGTCTGCGTGAACTGCATGTACCCCTGTTCCGCGCCTCCACCCAACACTAGTGACGACGTTCCTCGCAGCAATGCGATACTGAGACGGATGCAAGGTGTCCACTTTGTAGATTGTTTCGGACAGCGGTTTCTGTCTATGCCCTTACCTCGAAAGTCTCCCATTCATATCAGGCTAGCTGGATCCCAGGAAGCCTCTAAGAGGTCTTTCACGGTGTCCCGTCAAGGCAATCGAACTGCTGAGGCATGCTCTGAACCTTGGGCATTGTTTGCCTCGGCTCGTGCGAAGGTTCCATTCCACGATGTGCTGTTGTCACGGATCGCGGAGGTCGTCGAAAAGCAGGCCATGCAGTAGACGGAGTCAGGTCTGCTAGAATCTAGAATCCGTCCGTGAGTGGAGGCTTTGTATTGCATCGAGAGGAAACGTTAAGAGTATTAATCGTTGTAGCTCTAACAGCAGAAATTGATCGTAGTCGTAGTCGTGCATGTGGTAGTGCTGCGTGGCAGTATAGCCGCAGCGGTACCGTAGTAATAGTGGTAGTGGCAGTAGCAGAAGAAGAAGTAGTAGTAGTTGTTGTCGTAGTAGCAGTAGTAGTAGTAGTAGCAGCAGCAGTAAGGTGGTAGTAGTAGTAGTAGTAGCAGTAGAAAAAAGTAGCAGCAGCAGTAGTAGTAAGGTGATAGTAGTAGTAGTAGTAGTAGTAGTAGTAGTAGTAGTAGTAGTGGTAGTAGTGGTAGTAGTGGTAGTAGTGGTAGTAGTAGTAGTAGTGGTGGTAGTAGTAGTTGTAGTAGTAGTAGTAGTGGTAATAGTAGTAGTAGTAGTAGTAGTAGTAGTAGTAGTAGTAGTAGTAGTAGTAGTAGTAGTAGTAGTAGTCGTAGTAGTAGTAGTAGTAGGAGTAGCAGTAGCAGTAGCAGCAGCAGTAGCAGCACCACACACACTCGCAGGACGCCTGGTGTTTTCATGCGTTTTGCACGGGAGGGGCGGGGTTTTGGGAGCTGGGTTGAGGGATGATAACGTTCATGTTCTTGCTTTTGGTGAGCATGCACAAAACACCGGTATTTACGGCACGTTTGCTTCTCCACGGGTATGTTTTCGGAGCCATTTTGCACAGTAGGGGCGGGATTTTGGGGGGTTGGGGGTCGGGGGATGATAATATTCATGTTATTGCCTTTGGCGAGCATGCACAAATCACCGGTATTTACGGCTTCTGCTTCTACGCGGGTTTTATTTCGGACCCATTTTGCACGCTGGGAGCGGGCAAAACACTGGTATTTGCAACATTTCTGCTCTTGGTACAACATACTGCGCAAGGATGTGGAGCAAGACCCGCTGTCACAAGCATCTATGCTTTTGGCGAGCATGCCCAAAACACTGATATTTACAGCGTTTTTGCCTCTTTGTACAGCGTGCGTTCCTTTTGCGTGAAACGCCCGCAGCAGGAGAAGCACCCTAAGCCCTAAGCCTCGCAGGCCATGGATATGGAGCCTCGTGACATCGCCACCAGCTTGCAATGAGCGGCGCAGCGGATCCGATAATGTGTGCTTACACAACCCTTTCGAACAGGTGTTGAGAGAGGGCGAACCTGGAAGTTTGACCAAATCGAGCGCATGAACATGGCTCGATACCTTCACGGCACGCACATTGCTGAAGCTTCGTACTTGCCTCAGGTCCGTTGCCTCAGCGCCTTCCACCGTGCTGTGCTGTACTTCCCTGGAGCGGTAGAAGCAGGCAAATTTCCGCAAATGGAGCCGACGCATTCCTGAGAAGGATGGCTGTCAGGTTTTCATCCTTCCACAGGGCTAGGATGCCAGCAAAAGCACGACAAAGCAACCGCTGCAAGTCAAAGCTGAACCAGCAGACCATAGTAATTGTGCTACCATCCTTTAACCCACATCTTGGCTCACGACGAACATCCCATGCTGCAAGCACTGGTAAGTGAAGCTTTAAGACTGGCAGGCCTCGCTGCATGCAGTGTGCCCCTTTTCCGTTCCTGGTTGCTGCGAAAACCTTCGAAGCTGCGCTGCGCGGAGGTCGAAGGGCGACCTGAAGAATCAGAGATCCAGGATATGAGAGTTTCCGAAAATTAGAGGTACTTCATTTTGTGGTCCTTATAATAGCGATCCGACTATTTGGGTACTGTATTAGGGTCCCCTAGTTTCGCAAACTCCCATATGAGCGTTTCAGAAATGACTAGGCCCTAAGATGAAGTAAGCTCTTCCTGCCAGGGGCCCCCGGGTATCTAGGGGAAAGTTTACGAGGGCAGGCCCCGGCAGAGGCATGATCTGAATCTAGCCTCGAATCCACAATGTGTGTATAGGCTGCAGCTATTCATGGATTCGTCGTGGAACCTAGAATACATAGATGCGCGCAGAGAATACCGAAACGACTTCAGCAACCAGCGGCCTGCTTGAAGGAGAGCGCTCATGCCAAGTGTGCTGTCCGGAACCGTGTCGCTGGCAGTGGAAGCCACAAATACAAGCATACGATGACCACGATCTTAGAAAGCAAGGTCACAATACCAAGCGCCCCGTAGTTTGAGCAATGCTCCAGAAGCAGATGGGCAATAATGTGGGCACTCGTAAACCTGCCATCCGGAAACCACAACAACACAACATAAGGGATTTTTGCTTCGGTGCTGACTTGAACATCATTGAACACATTAACAAAGTAATTTTGCCCGTGTTCGTATCTCTCTCCGTCTCTCTGTCACCCTGTGTGTCTGTCCACGCGAATTCTGTGCATGTGAAAGGTACCTGACAATAAGAACTCAGACAGCCATGTGCACCTCCAAGCGCAGGTGGCCGAGCTCTTGGAATCCGCCGCCTTCTTTGGTGCCTGTGATGGAGAGTAATGTAGAAGCCTGAAGAGCCCTGAACCCGACAATTGTCAGGCTGAAGGATCTAACATGCTTTTGAAGGCTGTGCTCCTTCTCTGGCTTTTAACAGAAGGTTCTTCAAGGTCCGTGTTCCCGGGTAGTGAAGAGTGCTTGGAAGGCGTCCGGACCTGAAAACGCTGTACGGCTCCCCACTTTGGAATGAAGGTGTCGAGACTGACTTGGCGCAAGTGGCTCTGGACTACTTGACCGATCGGGTGGACGAAGTCACGGTATCTGGGTTGCAGCAATGCGAAGTCGAGCCTCCAAGTGGTGCCGGTGCTGCTGCTTGTGCTGGCAATAGGGCTTTTGGTGTCGTGGTTGTTTCTGTTGCTGTTGCCATTGTTTTGTCTTGTGGATCGTGGCGGTGGGGTTGCTGTGGTGGCGCAGTTGCTTCTTCCGACCCCAAACCAAGTGTGCATAAGTCTGCATCCACAAGTTAAATCCACGTTCACTTCCTTAGACCGAAGGACCCTATCATGCCCCCAAAACCCCGTTACAAACGAACCCTATATTCAAAAGCAGACTGAAATGTCAGGAGCGGGCCTCAATACAGGTGGTCTTCGCCATGTGCTTGACAGGCGCGGGGGGACGGGAATACGTCCCGTCTTCATGTTTACTCACAGGTTACGGGTGCCTTCGACGTCACCAGTGTCGATGTCTCGAAGTCTACAGTCATCAAGTTCTTCCATGACAACAATTCATGCAGACGCAGCCTTACAGCATCCATAGCCGGTCCCGTTTTCTGAGAACTTCCAAGATCCCATCTACCACACCTGCCGTGAACTCACTTTGGTGTCAGACGGAGCAGCGTCCCGAACCATGGCACGAGGTAGAATCGCATGACTGAGTCTGAGATTTGGGAGTTTCCGAAAATAGCGGGGATACCTTATTTCGGGGTCCTTATAATCAGGATCCTACTATTTAGGGTATTATATTGGGGTCCCCTGTTTTCGGAAACTCCCATTTGGAGGTCGGCATGCAAGCTTTCGATGCCGAAGTTAGTCTGTAGGATCGGTCTGAATGCAGACTTGGATTAGGCCACTTCCTACTTCAGAAGATCATCGAAAGAAAGGAGGCTCCTTACTTCCTGACATAGCCCCTTTCTGGACTGAAGATTTTACGCTGACGGTTTTAAGCTGGGTCTCTCATTTTGTGGCAGGCACGGTGGCAACGCATTCGCAGCTGCTGCTCTTCCTCTTCCGAAAGATCGGAGCAGGACTCCGCGGTTTAGGGTTTGATATGGTTTAATATAGAAGCCTCAATAACTACTATACTACCACGAATATTCCTTAGGGTGTCTTATTGTAGTGATACTATACGGGAGCCTAAACCCTAATTTGATTATTGAGGCTGCTACATTAGCCGCGTAACCCCTGTGATTGCTTTCGGCCGAGCAAGCACCTCAAACGCTCGAGTCTCGGGCAGCCGACAGGAAGTGCTTGGGAGTCGCATCGCCTGCGCGTGTTCCATCTTTGGGTGCTGCAGCCTCAGTGGGTTACGGTGAGACAGCCTGGAAGATGACGGGTTGCCTGCAGGCTCATGCTGTAGGTCGGAGACGTTTGGCTTTTCCTAGGGCAGCTCAGTGAATTCAATGTTCGCAGTGCCAAAGCTGTCAACTGAGGGAAAGGGTGCGTATGGGTGGGTGATAGTTGCACTCGTTGATGCTTTGGCATCCATCCAGTGCAAAAGTAGAAAGTCCTCATGAGATGAGTTCTTAACCCTAAACGCAAGCACAAAAACCTTAAATCCCCTATCCCCGGAACCCTAAACTTGCCCAGTCGGGAGTTTGAGCTCCTGGTTCTCCCGCAGTTCTTACACCGAAAGCTTCCGAGGTCGCAGTTGTTGCAATTTCCCTGGCTAGATGCGCGCATGAAGCGCCGCTGCATCGATGCAGGCCGTGTTCATGCGGTCGGATAAACGCCATAAGTCTTTAGGCCCAAGACGCCTTATGAATCATCTTCTACTTGCTTTTCAGAAGTTTCATACAATGCAACCCTATGGGGTTTGTCGAGATACTGCATGTATGACGAGTGGAAGGGCCCTGTATAGCCTGTAGAGAGCATGACGAGGCATTACACTGATTACACATTTCCAAGACGAAACATGTAACAGTATACGTTGTGTGATAGCGCTGACTTGAACGACTACTTGTGAGGATTGCGGGCTTGGTGTCTTCATCGTCGAGGCTACGGATGCCCTCATCCCGAGGAGGCGTCCGCACGAAACACCAGCAGATGTCGCGTAGGGTCGGGAGTTCGATTTCGGATGTGTGTTTGTGATACATGAATATGACGAAGGGGTAGTCGTCCTAATGAGGGTTTTTCGGAACCCTCTTGCCGAATTTGAACTTCCATCGTTCCCAACCTTTTTGGGCCGACCAGTGGGCGTCCCGTCAGCGAACCTCCCGAAAGGATTCGAACCTGCGGCACAGAAGGTCACTCAATATGACGGTGAGAGACTGTCCAGAGTCAAAGAGCTAAGTCAGAACTCAATTGCCGCTTCCCCCCTCTCTGCCGCAATAATATCTTCAGACTCAGACAACTTCACGCAAAGTTACATTCCAGGGCAGATCGTGACCGATAGCTCTTTTGAACTGTATGAATCTTTGCGCGATGAGCGTGTTTAGGCTTGTTTATCCCCAGCACCCCGTCAACACTGCACCTACGGCTGTTGTTCTATGTTAAATATGTAACTGCTCGTAGTGTTGAGTAGGGCTACGATCAGTACTTTAGTCGGGTTCTGAGCGTGGACCAGGAGGAGCAGGACGCTCAATGTTTCCAGATGGGTATACATTGGTATCATCGTTAGCATCAGCATTCCTTCCCCTTATTTCGACGCGTGCAATCTGAAGCTGGAACAGAGCGACAAGAAAGTTCTCTTAACGTGCCCCTGACTCTATAGGGCCCGACACCATCATTGAATGTAGGGCGAACAAAAATCCAGCCCTCGCGCTTGCCAGCCCCAGCATGTCATGGACAATAGCCGGCAATAGTTCGATCTTGGCTCGAGGTGTCGTGCTTTCGCAGTGTTACGGGGATTTCATGGGAATCCGGAAGCTTCAGCCCGAAACCGTCGAAGGCTCGGGACGTATCGGCGGAGCTCCGGGCCATGGGTGTGGAGCATCGGACTTTTGTGGCCGTGCAGGCCTGTTTTAGGCACTTTGTGCTTTCGAGGCTGCAGGTTCAAGAACGGAATTGACGGTGTAAGGTCCTGTATGGAGTCTGTTCAAGATCGTAGACAATGAGACAGCTTTATATACTTTGCAGGAGTTGTCACTGCTAAGAGATGCTCAAGGCAGGGGATCATGTGCAACTCCAAATCGTCCCTGCCCGGTGGATAGCATGCTCTGGCATCTGTCTTGTATCAGTTCACTCTGCAGGACACTCCCTACGAAGTCGACATCGCCCTTGGGCCGGGAAAGCACCTTGCTTGCCAAGGGACTTTAAAAGGGTGGTGGATTCCGCCGCTGGTTTGGTAGATTCATACATCATGTGGTTTGCGGGTTTGTGCTAGCATGGTTTATCTAGGTGCCATGATAGCATTCAGTCTCCCCTCTACTTAAACCTCAGACCCGAGACCCCAATCCCCTAAACCACCAGGTACGCGCTGCTGGTAGCTTCGGAAACGGCTCGCAACACCTTGACTCCTGTGGGAAGCACTCTTCTGCAGATGAAGCACCTGAAGGCCAGAACGGCCGCCCCTGACCACTACATACTCTCAGATACAATAGTATTGGTATGAGTATCGTGTTAGATACCGTTTTCGTCAGACTATGATAAAATCGACCGAGCGTGTCGGCTCGAGTGAACCCAGCGGAATTCCAACGCAGGCCCCGCTGACCGCAGCAATAGTGCGGAAATCCTCAGTAATTATGTCGCTTGCTCAGCAGTGCGATAGTCGAAAACCACAAAGGCGTCAACGCCTTAAAGCCATGATGCCTATACACCCTAAGGAACCCAAAACGCTGTGCGCCCGAGGCGTAAGTCTGGGGCAGCCAAAAACATCGAACTGAAATGCACAGGCGTCAAGAACCGAAAACCCATCAGCCCCAAAATCCTTTTTGCAGGGCGTTCAGGCATTGCATGGCAGCGTCCGAGTATAAGCGTACCCCAAACCCTAGCAGCCCTAATGCCTTGTACACCCTGAGCCCTTCCTTAAACTCTCGAGTCGTAGAAGTATAAGAGTGATGTCAACAGCCCACCCCCGAAAAAAGCCGGATCCCACAATTTCAGAAGCCCGCAGACTCCCCAAAGGACCCTAGCAGACATTCTCTAGTGTAAAGGCCTCATAGCTCTTGATAAACCCTCAACCCCAGAAGCTGCAAGCCCTCAAGGCACAGAAACCCAGCAAGCCCTCAAGGCACAGAAACCCATAACCCAGAGACTCCAATATCCTTTCACTAAGGATTAACCCCTAAATCAGATAAGGGATCTTACTATGTTTCAGATATAATCCTCAATTCAGAATTAAGGGATACTGGAGTCTGGAAACCCTTAAAGCCACAGGATCGCGGCTGGCGCTGTTTGGTGGTGCCCCGCCGAGCCTGGCTTCTCCTGGAGTCTGGCCCAAAAGGCCAAGGCCCCAAGGCCTCCCCAGCGCGGTTCTATGACCCCAAGATAGTAGGATCCATTACAAGGAACCCTAACAATGACCCAGGGGTTTCTTAATCAGGTTCCTACATTACGTACAGTGTTGGGATTTTTTGGCGGTGCTTTAGGGTCTGGGGTTTGCGGAAATAGGGTTTACTGACGGGTAGGTAAGGGCGGTTCTTGAGGCTCCAGGGTCTAGGGCTTAGGGATTTCAAGTTTTCTTATGGACCCAAAGATCCTTCCTTCTGTTCAGGGCTCAACGCAAAAAAGCCGAACAAAGCCCGATGGCTTGCGATGCGCTGTTTGTGAGTTAGTTGTTCCAGAATATGCAGTGCAGAAGCTGGCCGACGGTGCTTTGGCAGGTGCAGGTTGCAAGGCCGAAAACAGATGAAGACAATATGGTAGAGTTTGTGGGGAGATTTGCATGTAGCTATAGACTACTGAGGGACATATATATATATATATATATATATATGAGGCCGTTATTAGTTATCGAAACTTCTACTGTGAGGATCCTGTATTTTGGGGTCCATTTTTTGCGAGGATGGTTTTGGGCCCCCCTAAGCAAAAGTGTAGCCAGAAGGCCCGGAACCTCTATGTCTAACCACTTACTTGATGAAGCACCACTTACTTGGTGAGGAAATCTCGTTTTCGCTTGGTAAGTGCTTTCGCGTACTGGCTTGTAGCACCTCAAGTCATTGCCGATTTGCAAGACGATTCAAGGGCGAAGCATACATCAAACGGACCACCCGGAACACAGGATCGCTGCAGACTGATTGAAAGTCAAACCAGCTTTAGTTTGTCCCTCCGGCGGCGGCCGGAGCTCTCAGCTCCGAGAACAGTGTGTGTAATGCTCATTAATTAAGTCACTTTGCCAGGTGTCGTGCAGTATAGTACAGCACTTGATCACGACATATCACGACAGCAAGCTTTCTTGGAGTTATACACTTGTGCCACCCTGCTATGCGGGTTCGTCCTAGCCAGGCGGAAGGGAAAGAAACCTTTAACAACCCGGCGAATGCACGCACTCGAACCACCGACATCTTGCTTGAAACCCTAAACCCTGAACCCCCAGACATGGCTTCTTTCTTTGTTGTTCGTGTACTCGAAAGTCACTCTCTCATGTCACGCTAAGAAAGGTAGGGAGCTGAGCGGAGTAGCCATGTATCCGTGCCTGCCTTGAGCAAATGTCCGAGTCAAAAGCTTAAACGCCAGACCCTGAAGAAGGCTGACTACTTGCGTGCCCTCCTGGAGGGTTTCCTGCCTCCTTCGGCTGCCTTGCTTACCAGGGTGGCTTGTCAGCTTATACTCTCATGTATTGTATTAGGTTTAATATTTGTACGACCTTAATCAGTTTAAGGTATATTGGATCAGGTTGTATTACGTTATCTCTCTGCAGGGCTTGGAAGCTGAGTTCATTTCAAGCTTTCAGAAGTTGGCTCAGTCTTTCTTGGCTCTTCTTGGCAGCCTGTTTAAACTTTGGCTCGAATCGATCGCGCATTCTTTGGGGCTCCGAGATTCCTGAAGAAGGGGTGTAGTGTAGTCTTAAATCCACATGTAAAGCTGGAGCCCAACAGCCTGCGTAATCATTTTTTGAGGCCCGGGATAAAAGAAGCGAAGGTAATCCTTCAGGTATGCGTCCAGAGGGTACTGAACAGCACCATTCACAGTCTAAAGGTTTACCACGCGCAACGGAGGACACGCCAACGACGACCCCTGCCACATCTGTCGCGGATGGCATCGGAGTGAAACCATCGCCGGCTTCTGTGGAGGCGTAAGGAAAATCCTTCCTGTGCTCAGGCGATCATGTACACTATTAAGCCAATGACCATGCCCTATACATGTGCTAAACTCCATGAAGCAGGTAGTTACGAATAGCCGGATGATCGGTGCTTTGACTGCTTGTGAAGATAGGCGTGATGCACAGTTACTCCTGCTAACACAGTGGGAGAGCAACGGTCTGCGCCACATAGCCAGCTGTCGATGCTGTGGACCCATTTGCATAAGCTCTTGGCTTGAGCATGCTTGAGCTTTACCTACTTATTCATGCGCTGAAGGCGTGTCAGTACGGATTAACAAAAGGCACTTGTTACGTAGTTGGACGCACCATATCAACCCTGATAAAAGGGGCCTGAATAAGTAAACAGAATAGGGTTTTGCTGTATATTCTACTAAGATTCTAGTACAAGTATAATCACGAACTAACCCCCAAAATAGTAGAGTTAAATATTCAGGCCCCTATAAACAAAAATGTGGAAGCTCTCAAAGCCTCGAGCCTCGGGCTAATGCAGGGGCCTCAACAATTACCTATACTATTTGGGTATTCCTTAAAGGGGTCTATTACGGGACATATAGTAGGGTTCTACGGTAGTGACTTAATAGTTAACTATACTATTTTGAGGGCTCCTTGTTATAGTTGTTAGTATAATGGGCCCTCAAAACCCTATTCTAGTTATTAAGGCCCCTATATTATGGATTCAGGCAGGATGCTGTGTGGGCTTGAGCGGAAAAAAGAACACCGACCATCATTTGAGGATCGCCGCATTGCTAGTGCTGTTTGTTGTTTCTTTGTTGCTAGTGGCCCCAAAACCGGATTCGAAGTAACGGTCCTATGCCACGCTGCGGGGTAGGATCAACAATTGCTGACTTTGCTCTGACTGACAGTTTTAAGAGTCGTGCGACGACGTGCGTTCTTTATGTCAATCCATTGTTTCATTGTTTGCCAGGTTTTCCAGATGTCCCAAGACATGTTAAGCTCTTAGGATGCTGGCGATGGGGATGTAAAGGGCCAAAAGCAATAGTCGACGGCTGCAGTTGGCCAGCATAGCCGTGAGCCTGTCTGAGAAGTAAACTTATGTGATTATTTGTTTCGGAGACCTTGAACGGCCCTGTGGCTGCTAGTGGCTACTTGTATGTTCTGATTACTTACGGCCAAGCCTTAACCCTGAACCCTAAACCCCTAAACGCTTAACCCCAAACCCTCAACCTTAAAACCCTAAACCTACGGCCAAGACACTGTTTAACACACCACTCTGCTGACTTGTCCTTCGCACGGCTGTACAATTTACTAGCAAGTGCATGCGAGAGACTGACTTCCTCATATAGGGGCCTAAATAATTACCAATACTATTGGGAAAGGGTTCCTTCAAAAAGGGGTCTACAAAGGCTGCTATGCTGCAAGGCTGTAAGGGTTATAAGGATTGAATCTAGGGGCCGCAGTAGTTACCAAGGCCATGTTGGGGGGTTCCTTATTATAGTTATGGTATAGCGGGCCCCAAAACCCTATTCTAATTATTAAGGCCCCTATCTTACTCTAATGCCATACCATGCCAAGCCGAACTCGCATATAACAAAGTTGATGGATCGATCATCGTTATTCTGATGATGGCATTCATCCTCACCTTATCGTCATGTCATCAGCTACTCGTATTTCCGAAAACTTGTCGCGTGAGCTCGCGGCTGGCAGTTCAGCATCAAATTGTTTGTGTTGCATCTTACTCGTCGTGCAGTTCAGATATCCTCAGGAATGCAGATCTGCTGCTCCTCCGAGCGGAGCAGGCTCTTTGGGTTGCTTGGGTGGGCAGCATGAAATCCCAAATCGATTTGCTTGTGCTCCTCTTTCCGAAGTGGTGTGGTGCGAGATGGGGATGTAAGGCCTAGTCACCTCAACCTGGGAAATCCCCCAAAAAAATCCTCACCATGCAGCCCTCAGGCCCTATTATCGGAGCTTAAATGCTTGCCTACACTATTTTGGGTATCCTTACCATACTTATAGTCGAATGGGCCCCAAAGCCCTCTTTTGATTATAAAGGCCACTATACCATAGAACCCTCATAGATCCAGAAGGGAATCAAGGCACCTATCGTAGTCTGGCCTGGACGCTCGTAGGCAGAAGCCCGATGTTCCAATGCTGAACGTCAGCTCGGCCGATACAGGTGCCAGGGCTGGGGTTTACGGCCCCTAAACTTTAGGGTTGAGGTCTGAACGGTTTAGCAAAAAGGGTAGTTTAGGGCTGGCAGCTTCGCGCAAAGACAGTGTAGGGGCCTAAATAATTGCCTATACTCTTCTGGAGGTATTATGGGCCCCAAAGCCAATAAGGCCCCTCTATTCTGGTTCAAATTCTCATTTTGGGTAGAGGTGCTTCTGCCCCTGATCGCATTGGCAAGAAAATCACTAGCAGTGTGTGTGTGTGTGTGTGTGTGTGTGTGTGTGTGTATGTGTGTGTGTGTGTGTCAGAGCATGTCAAAAGACATGCCGACATAGAGACCTGGCAGCCACATCAAGCCGCTCTTCCCAGCAATTAGACTCACTTTCTGCGGTGTGGAGCTTTCGGAAACCATCATTGTCTCCTACGGTAGCGGCAAAAATTAGATTGAGGTAAGCCATGCTTTTATGCCAGCCCGCCTGACCTTTGAAGGTCAGGCTTGAGGTGCCAGTTGATTCGATGTGGCAGTCATCGTGATACCATCGGCCTTATCTGTCGTAACCACAGAATCCTAGATTCAGCGATGCCCGGCAACACCCCAACCGCAAGTTTCTCACCCCTGATGAATCCGTGCATGCCTAGTGTGCGAGTGCGCTAGTCGAAATCCTAAACCCCCAGACCCTAGACCCTGCAACATCCGAAGCCTCAACCCCAAGAACAACAGAAACCGGACAGCTCCCGGCCAGGCAAAATGAGCGGCTCCTGAAAGCCTCGCAGGCCCGGTGCCTGGGAGCTCCAGGAACCAGACAAAAACAAGCAATGCAGAACATACCAGTAAAAGCAATGGCAGTAATCACAATATGAACAGCAGCCATAGTACCAAGAGCAGTCATAATAAGACGAATGATGGTAATGGTAGCAACGATTTTCAGTACTGAGAACAACGACAATAAGAATTAACTATTTTCCACCTTCAGGATAAGCAGCCGGCTTTGCTTTGGGCGTCCAATGGGCCCGAGCAGGGAGAGTAGAAGGCGGCATGCAACGGACGTCAAGAATGGTCAGCGTACATGCTATGTTGAGCGGTATGTTGCATCAGGTGATGTCACGACGGAAGTCTTTACCATGTGCTTTGATGTATTCCTTGTGGATATGACGAAAGGTTGGGGTGGAACACGATAGGACATCCCGCTCCCGACTGTCCTGCAAGGGGCTGTCCGTGCGACGGTTCACTTAGGGTATGGGTTTTAAGTGTCGCGCTTGTTTGCTTGTACTTCATCATTCCACCGCAAGTGTTCAAGCTTGCCCCCAAGGCTCTGCACTGCCGGTATAGACAATGCATGCACCCGAAGCATCACACAAACCAGAGTACCGACCGAAATGGTGGCACCAACAGATCACAGCGTCATGGTGGGACCGTTTGGGGTATTTTTTTTATGAGCAAAAACCTGACAGGAAGAGAAGAGGCAGCTTCTCTTGCACTCAGTATTCAGAGCTAGCAGCTAGCAAGACTTTGAGCTTCGCCGGGGATGTTTTGCAGTTGAAGGCCTCCTAGACAGTACCAGGAGTATCAACAGCTGAGAACTCCCAGTCGCAATGTAAAGTTGCTCGATCATAATGTCGTATTGTCGGCCCTCCAATTATGGCATCCACCGCGGCTTTTCGAGGTTTCATATCACATGGATCCTAAGGTCCTATACCATCGAATGTCCACATTTGAGGCCTCTAGTTTTCCCACAAGCAACCACAAGCCAGAAGCCCCTAGACTCTCCAAAACCCTGCAGGGACTTGGTAAGCTGGGCGGGTGGCCAAAAAAATCCCTGAATCCAAAACCCTTCACTGAAGCCTTCGTCCGCAAGGCTGAAGTTGTGAAGACACGTTTTAGGCTTGAGATTCTCCGGAAGAAATGAGAAAGCCGAAGCCTCCACACCTGAGCCTTCGTTGCAGTTAGAGGATAGCGTTTAAGGTGAGAGCTTAGAAGTTGTAAGGCCAAAAGAGGTTACAAAGCCTTCAACTCTAACGTTAAAACAGGTTTACAAACCCTCCAACCCCTGAGCCCGACACACATCCGAGGCTGTTGTGGATGTACGTGGAGGAGGCAAAAAACGAGAATAAACGCCTGAAGGAGCCTGGATGAAACTCCTGTTGGGACATAGGGAGGGAATCGGCATTCATGATTTTCAATTTTTGACGGGCCTGTCGTTTGGGATCGGTGTGCTGTTTTCGGAATTGCAAGGGGTTCTGGATTTCGGTTTGTGGAGGTTGGTGTCGAATGCCCTCTTTCGAGTTTAGGGTGCTTGGGGTTGAGGGTGTTGCATTATGTTATACTATGCTTCAATATTTTTGGTTTGTCATTTGGATTCCAAAGCATTGCATGCTGTACTGTAGGGTTGGAAGAATCAGTGACAGTTGCCCTTTCTTAAACACCCTTACATCAAACTATACCGAATCGCGTGCCCCGGAACTTGTTGTATTTATGAAGGCCCTTACCTGGACCCCAAAAGTATGTAGAATAATGGCCTTTTATAGGTTTAGGGCCATTATTTTACCTATTTATGGGGGGGGTTTGGGTACATTGCCTTCACCAGTTATGATTCCTGCGCTTTCAGGAGGTCATGGAGTCTAAAGATGCTGAGATCCTGCTCTTAAAGGAGGAGCTTGAAAAGGCTGTGGCATTGAAAGGGGATTAAGGGGGTTAGGGTTTGGGGGTCGAAGGCTGCGTAATGTAAGGGCTTGAACAAATAGTCATTGCATCCCCTTCAAATCAAAACCCCTATCCTTTACAACCCCAAGGGTCCAAGTACCCAATAATCATATACTCTCCAAAATCCTAACCTACATAACTACTATCCT